TGAGGTAAAGATAATATGCTTGGGAATGCAAAGGGAGTGGTTTCAACTGCTGGTGGAAGAGATGGCCTTGACTTTGTCAACAAAAGAATGTCCAGCTTAGAGTTTATTTGAGCCAAACTGACGACAACTGCTCAGAAGCAAAATCTCAGTGGATTAAGAAAATGCTCTGGAGAATGGCAGTTTTGCAGCTTATTTTATACATTAGTAGGAGGGTTATGTGAAATCCATTGGTGGTAGGTTAAGGGGAAGGGAGAAAGCAAAGTGAGGAAATCTCTGGGGTTGGAAAAGTAAAATGAAGAGACACATACTTCTTTTACTTCGGTGGGTACAGGACAGTTAATAATTAACTAATACCATATGTAGAGATGGTATTCTGGGAGCAAGATAACAATGAGGGGGTCTGTGGTCTCCTGCTCTGGTGCAGTGGGTGTGCTTGAGGGACCTAAAAAAGGAGAGTACTCTGATAATACAAGGGTATGTTATCTTAGATGCAAAAAGACAATAGACAGGTTCACTTAAAGTAAAAACTGACCTTTATCAAGGAAACTCCAAGCCTAGGATGTGATTATCTGCCACGATTCACTTTTAGTTAGGAATTTTTATGTTCAGACCATCCTATGTGGTTACTTTCAGTCTATGAGTTTCTAAGGCCTGCCATGCAGGCCTCCCCTGAGCTCGTTTAGTAGGTGGCCCCTTTTTAATCCACAGTTATCGATATTATACCAGTCTTATAGATTGAGTTTGGTTACTTTCCTTTTTACTATTTTCTGAAATTAATTGTAACAAAATAAGAATTATATGTCCTTTGAAGTTTTGTTAAAACTTATCTGGTCCTTGTGTCCTTTTTTTTTGTCTAAATTGTAGGGTAGGTGGTTAGAGATTAAGGGTGAAATGTAAATGGGAAGGAGTGAGAGAAAGGGGAGAAATGTTAAAATACAATTCTGTTTCTTCAATGGTTATAAATCTATATGTACATTAAATGTTTCTATAAAAGTATCCACTTGATGTAAAATTGCCATTTTTTTTTGTCATAAAGTTGTTCATAGCATTCTTTTATGCTTTCCGTAACATTTTAATATATCTGAAGTCATGTCTCCCTTTTGGTTCTTAACATTGATCTTCAATAATTTTAAGTGGTTTTCATATTCAAATATTCACTTTTATAGCTGGTTTTGTTTCTTTTTTTCTTTTTTAATATGTGTGATTCTGTTATTTATTGCTTTAAAGATTTTAAACATTCTCATTTAAAATCATTTTTAGGTGCCTATTATTTTCAGTATATCTGGAGTAGGTTCATCTGCACATGGTAGATTTGTTGACTGTTGTTATTCATGCTGATTTTTCTCGAGTGTTTTGAAATTTTTGTTGGTGAGCTCATTTCGAGTAGGATATTTTTGTTTGCTTGTTTTGTTTCCTTCTCTCTCTTTCTCTCTTGACTCCTTCTCATCTCACAACTTTATAGTTGCTCCTATTCCCAGGATCCGCAGATTCCTAGTCCATCTTCTTATACTGGGGTCTTAGACAATCTGGTCCCGACCTTCCAATCTCCAAGTAGACCTATTTCCACTCATGTCTTCCTGAGCATAAAGTCCAAGTAGAATTTTCTCTAGGAGCTTCAGTTGATGACAAGGGCAAGTCTTGAGTTCTTCAGACCTTCTCTTTTCTTTCGGGGTCCCATGACATTCCATACTGATTGGGCAAAGCTCTGTGCATCTCAAATCCTAGTGTTGAATGAAAGTAGATGTAAGCGAAGTGCTGACAGGCAGCCACACAATAAAGCATTCAAACTGACAGCAGGAAATGGCGTAGTGGAGCCAAGAGAACCAGTAGAAGACCTCTAGACTAGAAGACAAATTGAGTATGTTTTAAATATATTTATTTTTTTAATCCAATGAACAAACTCTTATTAAGCACCTACTAAGGCATGAGGCCCACAAACTGAGAGGTTGGGACATAAAGAAATCACTAGAATAATGCAAGCTAAGACACTGAGGCTTCTTAAAAGACAGAGCTATGACATCTACCCTTTCTTGCCCAGAGAAGAAGCTCAAAGACCTGGTAACCATCGCCACCAAAACTTTCCTCCGTCCCCACAAGCTCATGACCATGCTCAAGAGCATTCGTGAGTATTACCCAGACTTGACCGTGATCGTGGCTGACGACAGCAAGGAGCCCTTGAAAATTAATGACGACTATGTGGAGTACTACCTCATGCCCTTTGGGAAGGTATGTCCTTCCCAGATAGGGAGACTCCTGGGTCCTGGGACAAGAGGGACCCAGAGTCAAGTTCTACTGTGGATGGGGCTGCTGAAGCACTGAAGTGGCTTTTCCAAGGAAGTAGGGTCCGGGAGAGGGAAGGGGTGGGACTCTCCTCCAAGGCCCCTGTTGACTCCAAATTCACCGAGAAATCAAGTCACTCTCACTTATCTGTATTAAGGAGGTGGTTAATCTGCCTTTCCTCACACTAGATATTGATCAACGTCCTTCTAAGTGATTAGAGGTGTCTGATAGGCAGATCCAACAGCAGAGAAACTTCTGATCCCTACGATTCCACTCAAGCTAGAGTGGCTCTCTCTCTGTCTCTCTCTCGCGCGTGCCTTCCTTCAAGGACACACAGAAGGAAATGGATACTATACAGACGAGAGTGTCCCACCTTCCAACATCTTCCAGGCAACATAAGGGGACATGGAAGGATAGCCACAGACACTCTATCAGATGGAAAAGGACTGAAATCCATCCATATTAGCCACAAGGCCAAGGAAGAACTTTCTGGTCTTTCAGTCTTTGATCTAGAAAGTCACTGTCCTTCTTCCAGTGTCTCTGAGACATGGAGCCCCTTTAACCAGTGATTCTCCACCACTATCTGGGGTTGAGACAGAGTAGCCTGGATATTAGGAATGAAGAAAGCTCCCCAGGTGATTATTCTAATATGTAGCCAGGGCTGGCAACCACTGATCTAACCTCATTCCACCTACAGGGTTGGTTTGCTGGTAGGAACCTGGCTATATCTCAGGTCACAACCAAATATGTTCTCTGGGTGGACGATGACTTTCTCTTCAACAAGAAGACCAAGATTGAGACGTTGGTGGAGGTTCTGGAGAAAACGGAACTGGATGTGGTAAGAGAGAGTTGCCAATTTTACTTCAGTTGCAATCTGGGGAGACAGCCAAGAGAGGGAAAGGGAAGAGAAGTGAAGAGGGGAATGTATGTGAGGGGAAAAGAGAAGAAAAGGGAAGAGGAGAGGGAAAGAAGGTGAGGGAGAGGGGCCGATGCAGGAGATGAAGAGCCGGCGCGGCTCTGGGGTTGAAAGCATCACAGTAGGCGTCAGGAGATATGTGAATTCTCTTTCTGCCTCCATGTTGATTTTTCTTTGAGCAATTTATATCCCCACCCCCAATTCACCTTGTTTCATCTTTAAAATGATGTATTTATGTATCACTTCTAACTTCCTTCTTAAAACGGCATGAGATGAAAGAGAGCAGTGCTCAGGTTCTGTCCCACACCATTCGAAAAGATGTAAATGGTACAAAGATTTAAAAGCACACATATCCCTGATGACTTTAAAAAAAAAGTAATAAAAACATCCAAAGTCAATTCACATATAGAAAAGGGAAGAAAAAGGTGATAGGTAACAATACTGTATTGCATTCTTCACATTTGGGAAGAGAATAGATCTTAAATCTTTTCAACATATACATAATGGTAATGATGTAGAGGTGACAGATATGTTAATTAGTTTGATTACAGTGATCTTTTCAAAACATCAGGCTGTACACCTTACTTATATACAATTTTAATGTCAAAGATATATGGATATAAAGCCATTTAAAAAAAAATAAAGAAAATAGGTAAGAAGGCAAGTGGCATTGTGACCACGGTTAACTCTTACTCCAGGTGGATAGTTCCCAAAGCATCTCGATTGACTAAGAGATCTCTTGGCTACTCTTCTCGAGATCAAATCACAATAGCATGAACAAGATAGAAGGTGTATTTCCCGCTTATGCCAACATCCAAGCTGGCACTTGACTCTGCTTCCAGGGTCATCCTGAACCAGCTTCCTTCTCTAGTTGCTCTGCCATCCTTGTGGTGCTCGACTGCATGGCCAGAAGAAAGGGGGAGCAAGAAAGTGAAGCACAGACAGTTTTCATTTAAGAGTATAATCTAGACATCCATGCTAAATCATTGCCCTTCAGCCAGGACTTAGCCACATGGTCAGACCTTGCAAAGGAAGTGAGGAAAATTTCATCTTTAGTTGGATAGTAAACTGTCTTAATTTAGTCCACTTAAAACTCAGAGGTTTCATTTACTAAAAGTAAGAAGGAAAGAACAAGTGATGGGGGACCTTGGCAGGCGTTACTGTGCCACCCTGGATGATTAATGATGGTTCAGGGATAGACGTGCTCACTTCTCCTGTCTGGCTTGGGCTCAGACATATAAATGCACATGTCTTCCGTGAGGAAATGGATAGCTGCTCAGAGAGGTGAGCCAGGAGCAGAGAATGGGAGGAAGATAGCTTGAAATAAACTGCAAGAAGCTGCAAGAACCCCCAACAGTGGAGACTCCACTCACAGACCACTGTGCATGCAGAATGCCTCTTGCCTGCACCCAAATACTGCTCCTCCTGATAGAAAAGAGTGAGTTAGCTTTTGGAAAAAGTGAGCTTGCAGTAGGGTAAGCAGAACAGAGAAATTGTCTGCCCTTTGGATTTGGTATAAGTGCTTTCTGCTCCTACCAAGGAGATCTTCTGGGATAAGCAG